CTGTCCACCAAGAAGGGCTCCTTCAGTCCCTCTGCCCAGACCCCACCATCTTGCAGTCCCTTCTCCATCATCACACACTAATTCTTGCAACGAGCCAAGCCTCGCAAAGCTGCCTGCAGCTGAGACTGTCCCAGCCCCAGCATCAATGGGACAATTCTGCTCATGCCAAGACAGCCTGAGCCCTCCAGCTCTGGTATCTCTCCAGCTCCAGAGTGCTGGTTGATGGGACTGGAGACACAGGGACAGCTTGGGGACCCAAGACACAAAACTGCTGCAGCACAGGCAAGGGACCACTGTGATACCGAGGGGCTGGCAATGCAGGAGGTACCATTCCCACCTGTGACAGCCCCCCAATGTGCAGATGCCCCAGTGTCCTGCCCACGTGTAATCACACAACTACAAGTACCTGCACTCCTCACATGTCTGAGTGCTACAACTTCCCCTATTTCCTGCTTTGTGCTGCCTGAGAACAGCTGCCGTACTTGCCCTCCGCTGGGTCAGGAATTGGTTCCTACACACAGAATCTGTTCATGATGGGTTATGAAAGTACAACAGGCAGTGGGAATAAACCCAGCACCTCACCCTTTCCTGCATAAGAAACCTCTCTGGGGCCCTGAGAGAGCAGACAAATGAGGGTCACAGGTTTTAGGGTGTACCCAAAACACTACAACCACAGATTGAGGAGCGATCGGAAGGACAGCAGTAAACTCTGGGTTTGTGCTGCCTCAGCTTCCCTCCCACCTGGGCCTCTGCAAAACTGGGGTAAGAGCCCTTGCAGGATGACTGTACAGAGGGGTAACGATGATGATGCCCATTTCAGCAAGCCCTCACGAGAGCCTGACTGTGCTAGTCATCCATCTGTGCCAGAGTCTTGGTCCTGCCTGGGTGCCAGGGCAGGGCAAAGGCACATCCCAGGCAACTGCCCAGCATTTCCCCACGTACCTCGCTTCTCCTTTCTGGTCTGCACAAACTCTGAGTGCCGCAGGGCACTGGGAGCCGTCCGTCTGTAGAAGCTGTTTCGCTGCAGCACAGAGCCCACCCTTTTTGCTTCCTTGGCCTCCTGCTCCCAGACCTCGCTCCAGTCCGGCCGGCCTGTGCGTACCCTCGAGTGTTCTGCTCTGCCGCTGCTCCTGGTTGGTCCCCTGGGCCCTGGGGCTGCTCCTTCCAGCTCCCCACAGCCATCGTAGTCCATGTCGGGCATCTTGGACTGTGTGTAGCAGGTGCCTGACTCCAGGCTCACTCTACCACCTCCTGAGGACCAGACCACAAATGCAGGAGCTTCACAACCTCTGTCCAGATTGCTGTGGTCCATGGCATGGTCCTTTGGCTGCCTGTGCTGTTCAAAGTCTTCTTGGTCTTCTTGGTCCCTGACACCTATATACCATCTTTCCTGCTCTCTGTATGCTCCAGAACCTCCATCCTCTCTATACCACTTTTCCCCTTCCCTATATACATTGCCTCCATCCCCTCTATACTGCCTTCTTCCCTCCCTATGCTCCCCAGAGTCCCTCTCCTGCCTATACCACCTTTCCCTTTCCCCATAATGTCTTTCATCGTCACTGTAGTCCCTAGGATCTCTGTCCTTCTGATACCACCTTCCCTGCTCCCGATAGTCTCCAGGGCCTCTGTCCTCTCCATACTGCCTTCCCCACTCCCTACACTGCGCAGGTACTCTGTCCTCTCTGTACCGCCCTTCTCTTATCTCAGAACTGCAATCTTTGTATTGAATGCCCTCCCTCTCATACACCCTACAGTTTCTACCCACTGTATCCTGGCTTTTGCCTTCCCAAACACCGTCTGCTCTCCTGCAATCTGCATACTGGTTATCTCCCTTCCAAAAACCTCCACAGTCTCCATTCATGTTCCGTTGGTCCACAGAGATGCCCTCCCCTCTCCTGTAACCATTCCAGGCGCTGTCTGCTCCCCGGCAGCCTAGGTACTGCCTCCTCGCCCTGGGTCTGTCATTGCAGCGAGCCTCACCACGCAGTGCAGCCACCCCAGCCACGTCCTCTCTCCGCACGGCACAACAGTCCTCATATTCCCAGCCGAGGAGCCATGGCTCCTGCCTCGGATCCTTCACACCGTGTTTTGTCCCAGGATAAGAGCACATAGTCCTGCTGGGGTGCAGTGCAGGTGCTGACTCCCTTTGCTACCTGCTTGCTGAGCCCCAGCCGGGGCCGACACTGCTTCTCCGCCCTGCTCCAGCGCTCCTGTCCCAAGTGAAACACGGGCGTGTCTTCCTGAAACCAGCCAGCAAATGCAGGAAGAGGTACGGGCCCAATGGCTGCCAGCCCTGGCCTCCTCCACCTGCTGCCCAAAGTAATCAGTAACCAGCCCCGAGGAGGGAGGCCTGGGCTGGGCAGGCTCTCACTGCCCAAACCGGCCCCACCGCTTTGCCAAAGCCTCTCCGCGGGCGGCTCAGAGGCAGGGAAAAGGCGGGCACTGGAGCACGTGGAAGCCCTGCCCCAAGACCAACATCCTCAGGGAAGGGAAACTGAACATGTGTGAGACTGCAGGAAGCCACAGAACAGAGATGGGAGATCAGATCGGCTTCCCCTGCCTTCACACTCCTGCCCGCACAGAGGCTAAATGGCGCTGTCTAGCAGCGGCTGGGCTCTGCTCCACACCTTCATGGGGGAAAACCAAGGCCTTCATGCTGCCCCTGGGTCAAATCTGATACTGAGCCCATCTTTTTCCCAGCCCTCACCACAGGTCTTGGGAAGAGCTGGAGATAAGCAGCTCCCTGCGAGACAAGAGGATCTGTGAGTGGTGCCTACTTAGTGCCATGCAGCCACAGCTGCCCGGTTCCCTGCTCCAGGGTGAATGGCTGGTCCCCCTGCTGACAGGAACAGCCTTGAAGGACTATCTGGGTTACAGAGTCCAGTGTCTACACACAAAGAAGTTTCCAGGAGGCCATAGAAACATGCGCATCAATAACTCCTCTCACTGCAGGGTGCAACATATTCCCATTTTCCATGTCAAATGCAGGACAAGAAACCAATAGACAACCACAACATGCCCTAGAAAGAAACCAGGAGTCAGCAGATGTAATCCACGTCTCAGGTTCTTGCAACACTTGTTAGGTATGCACAGCCAATGCTCCCAGCTGGTAGAAGACAAAAATAAAGTCAATGGATCCTCCTACTCGTAACTGCAGGAGGGCAAGGACTAATCCTGCCCAAGCCTGGTGATCAGCAAACCCTCCAGTGTGTACCCAAGACATGCTAAAGAAGCAACCTGCAGATTTTAAACATGTATTTTAGAAAACCACGTACCTTCTGCTCTTCATTTGGCTCCTCAAAGGACACACCAAGGGGCTGGGTTCCCCTAAGACTACACTAGCCCTGATTTCTTTGCTGGTCAATGCTTAGGGAAAGCTTTTCTCCCCTCAGTGTGCCTCCATGTGCCCCTAACTCCAGCAAGGCAGAGGCCACACCTGAAGCATGGTGCAAACACATTTTGCTGAGCTGGTGCAGCACCGCATTACTGATCTGGCCCACTGCACTAAAGCTGAGCTACCAAGCTTGAGACATGCTCTCTGGCCACACTCAGATGTGGCAGGAGGGATGTGGCAGAGACTGGGTAGGGCACATTTTTATCATAGGATCAGAGAGGCTAAATATAAATGCTCAGGTCTCTTGGAAGTAGTGAAAAACCCCCTCGGATTACCAAGAGGATAACCTCATGGGTAGGATGTCTCAGGATGGTGTGTTAGTTTACACCTAAAACTTCCAGTTCCAGTAACCAACAGGGCACAAGTTCCGCAAGATCCATCTTAGGAGAAACTTCCCAGCAAATCCATCCTATCAGACAACTTCCTTCGAGATACAGCCTAGATTTTCCTCTTCCTACCTTCAAGTTATTTTATCTAGCCTCAAATCCTCCAAGCCTCCTTCCAAGCATTCCTTTTGCACGCCACTGATGTGGAGGCTGTTTGTCACCCTGTTTCCCTGGTGCACCAAAATCAGCCTTCATTCCCACGTGCTCTGCATCAGACACAATCCTGCAGCAAAGCGCCTGGGCTCCCCAGTGCTGATTAAACAGTGGGAGGATGGAGGCAATGAAGTCAGAGTGAGTAATCCCCAGACAAGAGCTGGCATTTCACTCCACCTCCTGCATGCAGTGCCCACATTTCCTGCACATCGTGGGTTTTGGTAACAGAACTGTAGTGTCAGAGCTCCTGGAAGACGCTGGTAAAGGGACAGTGGGAGATGTATGCAGTCCTGTCTTTTCATCTACTGTAATATCAAGTATAACATAATTAACAGTACTGATCTTTATATGGCATCTTTGGGTTTTGGGGCCCAAATGTGCTGATGATATAAACAGGACAAATTTCTCCTCCCTGAGTAATTTTTCTGGGCTGCAAGGACAAAAGTAATCTTTATGGCTACACACATGCTGCAATCTAAATCTCTTTGTTGCTGTTACAGACAATGCAGTGTCATTTTCCTGTCCTGAAATTCTGGACTCCACAGATGGCAGGAGCAGAGGCGCAGGCTTTACTTTTTGTCCACTAACCTTCCTCACTTCTGTGCATGCCCTCTGATTTAAGCGATGAGTCCCCAAAGGTTTGTATTACCACCAGAACAGAAACCGCAGGAAACCCACTGTCCTGACAGATTGAGGGCAGTCACACCACAGACATCAACTCAAATCTCAACTGCAGAACTGCCAGCAGCTGTGTTTTTGCTTGAGAGCAAGCACATGCCGAGAATGGATCAGTTGAGGGCTCTGGATGTAGGGTGGGGCTGGAAGAGGAGGTGGGAGAGTTGGAAGGAAAAGGGGGTAGGGAAGGCCAGGGCTGAGGCATGTCCAGAGAATTACATTGTGGTTCTCTGAGGCAAAATCATGATGATTTGTACTGCAACAATGCTTACAAAATGACCAAAATCAGGAATTAAAGAAGGAAATAAAAGACTGGCTCCAACAGTGCTTGTACGCAGCAGGGGCCAGCTGTCCCCCTGAAGCACCACCATCCCATGCCACTGCAGACTCACCTCTCAGCTCTTGAAGCTCCACGCTGAGGCTCTCGATATTGGAGTCACAGAAATCAAGGTTTTCCAGTGTCTCTGCTCTCACCAGCTCATCCTGTTGCTCCTCCAGCATCAGGCTTAGCTCAGCACGGGTCTTGCCGTAAGCCTCCAGGTCTCGCTCCACCTCTCCAATCCTCATCATCAGAATGGAGTGGGGGGAAGCTGATCCTGCCTGTGTCAAGTCCTCACGTCCCTCCTCCACTCGCTGCTCCTGGGCGCTGGGCTGAAGCTGCGCCGGGGCCACATTTCTCCGCTGAGTGCTTGATGGAGGCCGGGGTGCAGGCCGAGAGGGCTTGACCGAGAAGGACAGAGACCTGCCTTTGGGCACCTGGCCACCCAGCGTGTGCACAGGGGTTGTTGCAAGGCTGCTGGGCCGAGGAGGGGGTGGTCTCAGTGCTTTCCTCCTCTCTGGCTGCCTGGCGTGGGGAGCACACTCAGGAGACCCACGGACAATGTCCTTCTCAGAGCTATAGTCCAAGATAGAGAAGTGGCGGGAGACTTTGTCCTGATCAGCACCAGTACTTGACAGACTCTTCTCAAACTGTGCCAGCTGCTCTGTCAGTTTGGAGTCAAGGTCTGTGCAGCCATCCCCCTGCACTGAGAGTGGGCAGCATTCCCCCCAGCTCCCAGCCCATGTGTCCAGGCCTACCTGGGCACCTCCCAGGCTGGAGGAACAAGGTTTGGACTTCTCTTGTTGACTGTCCTCCCAACCATCCAGGTCCTGGGTACTGCTCTGGCTCTCCTGGGTCTCAGATGCTGCCCAGCTGTTAGGAGAAGAAACTGCCTGGCTCCTGCAAGGATCTGGCGGGGAACAGGGAGCCTGTGGGTGCACAGTGGGACTGTTTCCATCATGCTCAGACAGGGCCTGACTTTCTGAGTTTCCTGGAGAGGCTGAAACAGTTCCCCCAGGCTCCAACTCACCTGCCTGGCCAGGCCCGTTGCCCTGTTGGGGAGGCAGCTGAGCAGAAGGGAGAAGGCCATTGACTGTCTTTCTGCAGTCAACGGGGAGGGAGTCTGCTGTACTTCTGGGACATAGCCCTTGGTGTCCTGTGCCAGGAAAGGCCTGATGCTGTTTCAAATCTGTGCCAGGATGACCCTCTGTGCTCCCCACTGTGTGAGACAAAATGGTGTCAGGCTCAGGATGTGCTGCTGAGCCACCCTCCTTTTCCCCCACATCTTCCTCTGGCAGAGGAAGGGCTTCAGAGCAGGTGCCTTCTGTGTCTTGATGGATGGTGACTCCACAGCTGCCTCCACCTTGGGGATCCTCAGAACCTTCATTTTCCCTGCAAGCCTCAGAGGCTTCCAGCCTCACAAATCTGTGTGGAAAGATGCCGCGTCTTCCCCTCAGCTCCCCCTCCAGCCAGCCATCCTCCAGAATGCCTATGATCCGAATCCTGTCACCCACATCAAAATCCAGTTCCTTGGACTCCAGAGCTTGGAACTGATAGAGGGCAACACCGTAAGTGCTTCCGGGCTCCTCCTCCTCCTTGGGGGGCATTTCCATTCTCCCATTGGTGTCACAAGCCCCTGTGGGCTCTGGATCCACTGAGGTTCCTGATGCTCGCAGAGGAGTAAGCAGTTCCACAAAACCCTCTGGGAAGATGCCCCTGCGGCCTCTGAGCTCACCTTCGAACCAGCCAGGCTCTGGGACACCAACAATGTTGATCACATCCCCTTCTCTGAAGTCCAGTTCCTCCTCCAGCTGAGCAGACAGGTCCATCAGGGCCCGGGCTTGGCCCAGTGAGTAGGCAGGCACCTCCAGGAGAGCACTCTGGGACAGCTGACGGCTCCGAACTGAAAGGCACAGCTCTCGCACACATGATGAGGGGAAAAAGCCCTTGGAACCCCAGCTGCTTCGGCCCTGGAGCCAGCTGGAGGCCAGGGACCCCCCCAGGATCACCAGGTCTCCTGTAGGGAATTAGACACACCAGTTCAAAACTGCCCTCATGATTGGTTCCCACCTCTTATTCCTGCCTCCCTGTGTCCTTCCTGGCTGTGGGTAAGGTCTGGCACTCTGCACAGAGCACAGTGTGTGCTGGGGATGCATGGGAGCACAGAATGGAGGTAAGGCATGAAGCATCAGCAGCCTCTTGCACACATATACCTAAGATATGCAGTTTTGGCTGCTAAGCCATGAAGGTGCACCAAAGCTTTCATTTCTCCCCCAGATGCAAGTCTAAGATTTGGGGACTGGAGGGCAGTTAAAAGGCAGCTGTAAGTTTACTGTGATCACATGCCTCCAGTATATGGATTTTCAAGAGTAATCATAGATCATGAGAAACCAGTATCAGAGTGGCAAAAGCCCAAAGGTCCATGGTGGATTTGACATGACTCATGCCATGAGGTACTAGGAAATTCCCAGTCTCTCCTGCCACTCTAGGAAGGATGCTGTCTGTGACTAGTTTCATGCTTCTGGAAGGACAGGTGAGAGCTATGAGATGTAAATCAAACGAAGGGAATGGAGATTACCTCTCTGCAATGACAAGCTCCCTGGCTCTTGAGATGTGAAGTCACTGGTACAAACAAAGAGTTTTTCTCCCTGCTTCAAAGGAGGAATATCCACAGGTTCCACAAAGCTGCTAGGAAACTGCCCTAAAATGAGAAGCAGTTGTCAGCAAGGAGTCCTTCCTGTAGCCCACCACCACTCCCTCCACCTTCCTTTCAAATTTTGGGATCTATTAATCTCTTGCTAAAGGAAAATAGCCAGCTACACATGGTTTCAGTAGCATGGTGGAAGAGGAATGAGTTTGGGAGTCAGGAATTCCTGAGGTTTTAAATGCTTAAGAGCTAACAGAGAACAAAAGGCTTTTTGCCCTCAGCTCACTCCAGGCTGTGATCATTACTGGGACTGTGCCATCAGCATGGTTTCTGGGAACAGACATATTAGTTTTTTTCTGCTTTCATTGACTGCTTCCCACTTCAGAGCCATGATGAAGACTGAGAGATCCAGTAGTGCTGGACCATGAGACCAGCATCTTGTAATTGGGCACATTCACCTGGTGCTCCTCACTCTGTAATGCTTGGCCTCTCTGCGGCCTCAGTGCAGAAGCCAGGCCACCACACTATGGATGGCCACGTCTGTGACCCATGAGCTCTGTCACAGCTGCAGTGCTTCTGAGGCTCCAGGAACCTTCCTTGCTTTATCACCTCTGTGTACCTATTTCACCATGGCACTTGTTGCTGGATGCCCAGCTATTCTGAACAGCCCGCAGCCAGATGGAGCAGCGCATACTTGTTGGCCATCACAAGATACTACTCAGCTTTTAATTTCAGTCCCGGGAGCACAGGATGCAGCAGAGCCCACTGCAAAGGCTGCTGAAAATGTTATTCCTATATTTTATAATTTGTGGCAAGGAGATATGATGGAGTATGGGCTAGTAGTACTTCCAACATTCACTCTTGATGACCCAATATGACACCCATGTTCTCCAATAAAACCTGGAGACATCATATCCTAGACACCCAGAATTTTGCACTGGGTTTAGGTAGTCTGGCATCTGCTGTCATTAACGTGATGTGCAACCAGCAGCCCACAGGCTGCTAGCCTCACTGTCTTCCTTCATTTTTAACCAACTCTACTTCTTTTTCCATGTCTTAGTTTCCTGCTCAGTACATGGAAACTACCTAATGCTGTTAGAAAGGAAGTCATGGAACTACATTAATTATTCCCCACAGAGTACTAAGTATTATTATTGGTAGGCTGCAGCACCTCCACAGCTTCTATTCAAAAGCGCTTTTTCAATTCCCCACAAATTTATCTTAGAAAATTGGGCAGAAAACTACAACAGCTGTTCCAAGGGAAGGCAGGAATGCAAGTGGGTTTTGAGCTAAAAGTCATTAAAAGCATTTGGTTTGACTTCAGCGTGTTTCTTTATCTTTGAGCTATGACACACATCTGTTTATTATTCCTTAATAGCTTCATCTTCCTGAGAACAAGCACATCAGTTACACTGGGAGACAAAACTGTGGTGAAGTAGCTGCTGGTGATTTCTGCAGAAGTAGTTTGTGCCCAGTGACTTCAGCAGCCACAGGATCAGGCATGCGCTCATTCAATGACATTTATCAGCTATGTGGAGCACAGGAGAGAAGTCTTCCTCCCCACCTTTGCTCCTCTTCATCTTTGTTTTAGTCAGGATACAGCTCACAGCTGTTAGCAGAGCCCACACTGCTGCTGCCAATAGCAGTCCCATCTCCATGGCCAGGGATGAAACTCTAGTCCACCCTCATGCTGAAGACAGAGTCGGGCTTATGCTTTGATGTGGCCTGGTTTTCACCTCCTTGAAAGCTCACGCATCCTCTCAACATCAGTATTAAGATGAGAAAGAGCTGCTTAAACAGGGACTGTGAGACTCTAAGTATTTCACTATGAGCATTTTGATGTTTCGGAAGTTTCTTACACCCCTCCAAAAGTCTGAAGGACTTGCACACTACTTCAGGCATCCAGATATTGATGGCAGCTTGTGCAGGAAAATGGTTTAAAGTGGAAAGGAGGAAGTGGGGCTGAGTCAGAGGGCTTGGAGGGACACACAGACTCTGTCGCTGTGTCTCCCACTGACTTGACCTGACGAGGTCACTTGGATGTGGATGCATTTCCACTCTCAGTGCATCTGTTTCCTCTCTCCCCTTCCACTGCCACAGCAGGTCAGCACATAAACTAGCCAGGAAATGGGCTGTCTCACCACAGAGGATGGAGCAACTACTATTGTGAAGCTCTCATCTCCTTGAGAACTGACCCTCCACTAACCTCTCTCAAAAAACAAACGAGCTGTCTGAATAGCTGATATGAAGCTGGCAGGAGACCAGTGGCGGGCAACCTGTACCCTCAGTCCCAAGCAAAGACCCATTAAAGATTTAGTAAATTAAATCTGGTCCTGCACAGCTCTGGCCAAGGCAAGGTGTACTCACAGAATGGATATTTAGCTGGCACATCTATGGATGCAGGTGCAGGCATTTCCAGGTCTTACCTGTGACACCTTCCTTCTTTCCAAGGAGCCAGAACTCGTCCACCACTGCTAGTACCTCGATGACATCTCCCACGAAGAGGGGCAGCTCTTCAGAGACGCTGGGACAGAAATCAAAGACTGCTCGCACCACGGAGCCAGCCTCCATTGTGCAGGGTCTGAAAGCAGATCAGTACCTAAGGCACACAGTGGGAAGTTTGTTAGCAGCCAGAAATACCTGAAATGATCATATATATGTTCAGAAAGTAAAACCCTTCCTGAGCACAGGAACAGTGTGAGAGGGTCCTGTCCCGAGCTCCCTGAAACCTCTCGCCACATGAAGCAGGCCACAGGAGCCAAAGGTCTCCCAGCAATGGACTTGAATGGTCTAACCTGCCTTGTCCAGCCCCTCTGGCTATGTCTGTGGGGACGTGTTTGTGCTGCAATGGGGGGGAGAAGCAGCAAGAAAATTGGAAGTGAATTCCCCTCACGAAGGAAGGAAGAGGAGGGGAGGAAGCTCAGTGCTTCCCTGACATGCAGGGCAGGACAGGCAGATAGCACCACTCACTTGCACAGTCCCACCAGACACTCTCTGGCAGGATGGGCACAGGTACCCCCCTCCCCACGCCACTGCTCAGGGCCACAGGAACTGCATGTGGGAGCAGTGTCACACTTCTGCCCAGCAGAGAAGAGGCACAAAGTCCACTCAGGCAAGTTCACCCCACCATCCTCTTCCCCACTGGTGAACTCTTCTCGCATCCACCTGGACTGACCCAGCCTGGGCATACTCAGACCTGGCTGGAAATACCCCTTCTGCCTTCTAGGTAGCAGGCTCATCCCACCCCTGGGAGGCCTCACCATGGCTCTTGACAGAACCAGGATGAGATGAGGGTGCAGATTCTGTCCAAGGCTCTGGGAGCTGAGGCTGAAATTCCCCCTGCCAGGCAACCTGAAGGCAGGCAAAGACATCCTCATTAAGGGCTATGTCCTGGATCCCCCCTTCCTCCGGAAGCGGCTGCTGAACCAGAACACTTTTCTGTACCATCTTTGCTTTGTACCAAGCAGCGTCACCATCAAGGCAATATACTACACCAAGGCAGCAGCAGTTCTGCAGCTTCAGCTGCAACTTCCCCTCCCCCCAAATCCCTCAGGAAGGGAACTGAACGGTGCATCCATCCAAGGCAACCAGGAACCCTAAGATCATTCCTCAGCATCTGCACCTCAGACCAGTGAGTACTTCCCTTCATCTTCCTGTCCCATCGCAATCACGGGCAGAGCATGGCACTGCTGACACCTCTCTGAGGTGCTTCAGAGCCCTGCTCTCTTCGACACCAGCATGTCAGCATCCTCCCCAGATGCCCCCCCATGACACAGGCTGCTTTCCTCTCACATTATAAGCAGAGTCCCTGCTCTGATGAGTTGGACACAACTTTCCTGTAACGGGATCCAACCTCCTCCCCTCCCAAAGTGCCTCTACATGCATGATAAATGGTCACCCTCCAAGCGCCGCCCAGCCAGTGATACCCATACCATACTCAGCATGGCTTGTCAAACCGTCCTGCCCAGACAACAGCAGAAAGAGCACGGTGACAACACACACCACCACCCACAGCAAACACACAGGGCCCCTGGGGCTCCCATTTCTCCATACAGCCACGCACGGCCCACCTGAGCCCTGGAGAGTCAGCAAGAAGGGGATGCTAACACAGGGAGAGAAAAACCTCCCTGCTGACGAGGTGCAGCCAACTTCCAGCGAGAGCGCCAGCGGGGATCCAGCCAGGGAAAAGCTTTCTGCTGACAGGACCGCTCTGTTTATCCAGTCCGACTCACCTCCTGGGAACAAAGCGGGTTTGTACTCGGCAGGAACAGCTTCCTCAGCACGTCCCTCCCCACCCCCAGCCATGCCCCTGCTGCAGCCAGCATGCTGTGCCCTGGCCCCCGGCCCCCCTCACCTCTGCCATCCTGTCTGTCACTCCTATTGCTCTCCACTGCCTTCCCTATAGCATGTGGGCTCCTTGGGACACAGGCTGTCCCTTTGTCACCAGCGTTGTGCTGGCTGTACAAACAAAGAGCCCAATATCCAGCAGCCGACAGCACTTTGCCACCAAAAAGAGATGAATGGACTGGAGTGAATCAGGAGCACAAAGAGCTGCAGTTCAGGGTAGCAGTAACCTACTGAGGCAGAAGGAGTAACTATTAAAAGCATGACCATGTGGAGCAGGGAAAAAGATGGAAGAGCCATTATTTAGCTTGGAAATATTAAAGACTAGGAAGGAGCCTTGTGCTGTTTGAGGTGGGGTGGCTGGGACATGCTGCTGCATGCTCTGACAGGAACAGGAGAGCAGCAGTGACAGGCGCAGCAGCAGCAGCCCCTTGCAGGCACCAGGGGCTGCCCTCCACCCTGCAGACAGGCTGCCAACTGAGCTCAGCATCCTAGGAATCCTTGCCATACTCTGAATATACAAACTTCACAGCCATACTCGACAAGGGGGGGAAAAAATATTGCAGGCATAATTGCTGTCTTGAGGGAGTTTCTCCAGGAGCATATGATGGTACACTGAGATTCTTTGCATTTCTTTTGTCAAAGGTGTAACGTAAGAGTGAGATGAGGAGTACAAGAATTACAGCATGTGTGCTGCAGACCCAATCCCTGGTTTTGCTGCAGTCATAGGGGCTGAGGACACAGCTCTCCCACTGCCCAGGGCTCAGATCCTGACCATGAAAACAGTGGTGTCACTTTCTTAACTCACCTGCTGCTCTGGGGACTCATTCATTAAAATGTACAAGATTTTCCAATGAGACAGAAGATCAAGAGGGGCAGACAGGATTGCAGTTGTTCCGCCATGTACATATTAATTGCAGTTATAATAAAACACAAGCAATAACACATGCATATGAAAAGCACTCCCCGAGCCCATGAGGTAAGCAAGCATGAAGTAACTTCTGAAACTGCCAAAAAAAGGATCCCAACAAGCCCACATTCCCTCAGCCATACTGAGAAGAGCAGGATCACTCCCTGACTCCATCCGAGTCTAGACAGTATGCCCCTGCATTTGAAAGCAGTGCATTGGTCTTGCGGGGTTTGCTTGCTCCATAACATGGATTGAACACAAAATACTATGTTTTCCAGGACATTGGCCTTGTCTTACTCCATGGAGTGCTGCCTGCCAACATTTTCACCAACCCCCCACCTAGAGAAGTAAGCCTCCCAACATCCTGCAGACCGGAAACTTACTGAGTTCAACTCTTCAGGCTTAATGGTGGACCCCGAGCTTCTCCCAGATCCACCCTAGATCTTGTGAAAACAAACATTCAGCAACAGCTCACGCAGAGGCTCCAGCAGGAAGAGCAGATTACAAGGAGAGCTGGGCTCCGCCTGTGATCCCCAGTGAGTCAGGGCTCCTGACCGCTGGCCAAGCACCATCCCCTCTCACCTCAAGGATGGGTGATCCCTGCCTGCCCAGAGGGAGGGAGGGCGGGCTCCTCCATAACTGAGTAAACGCTGGGACTTCAGGCTGGCGGAGGTCAGGACTGTGAACTGCAGAACTCCTGCCCCCGCCTAGCAGCAGAGCCGCATCCAAAGAGAGCCTCACTCTGCAAGCACGAAGCTCCAGCGCAGCAGTGAACTCACCCTGCTGCGAACACGCTGTCTGTCTCACTGCCTGATCCTGCACAAACTAGGTAATGTGTTCCTGGAGCCCAACTGCAGCCTGCCTCGTGCCAAGCTCCAGGCCTGACACAACAGCATTGTGCAGCAAGGCAGAGAGTAGATTCCCAGGGCATTAATCACTCCCCCCAGTCTGCCCGCATGCACGCTCAGCACACATTAACATTACCTCCATGGAAGACTGCCTATTCCATTTCGCCCTTAGCTCTGGAGTGTGTCTGGTCCAGTGTGGGCTGATGAGAGGAGTGACCAGAATGAAAGGACAGCTATTAACTCTGTTATAATATTGTTTTGAGACCTTCAGCACAGACTGGCTCAAGCTACAGCAGCCAAGAGAAGGCATTTACACACAGACTCTGACAACTTCTTGTATCTCTCCTCTGTTTTTGCAGCTGAAATTGGGCAGGGTAAGAAGTCTCAAATAACAGACTCACCAGCACCACAAATAATTGTCAAGCATTTATGAGACCAGGCGGCAATGTAAAGGGACCATTTAGGCTGATTACAAAAAGTATTAACAGCCCCAGTAAAAGGAGAGACCCAAAGGGTTTGCAGACAGCTACTCCGGTGGTATATCCAAAGTGTTGATCAGATCATGAGATAAAAAGCAGTAACCGATGGATACCACAAATTTAGCAGCCAGAAAACCAAACTTCACGGGTGCTATCACCACTCGTTTCCCTCTAAATAATACTTCTCCACTTCTCACTCAAAAAGTAGTGCTGCTAGAACCAACCATGGTCAGCATGACAGCACCGTAACTGAAAAACTAACATTTCATCAACCAGACCAAAACATGCAGTGTGAGATTCCACACGCACACTTGGTTTGCACAAAAGGGACAAGTGGATTCTTGTGCAGCAGATGTCTCAATCTCTATAAAAACCTTAGAGCCTGCCTAAGCAGTAGACCAGGAAGGAGTCTGATTCTCAGAAATGCACAAAAGACAAGTTTGTCACAGAATGATTCAAGAAATTAGTATTAAAAATATTAAACAAATACTGCCACTAATCTTTTTTTTTTTTTTCATTGAAAAATGCCCTGCATTTCACCTGTCTTTTCATGCCTCCTTCCACTCATTATAGCTCAGTGCCTGTTCACTGCAAACACAATCCACCCCCAGAGACAGAGATGTCCCTTGACTCCATTCAGTGTACCCTCCAGCTGCCGGGTCTGGCTTCAACAAGAGATCTGCTGCAGGATCAGTACCTAACATGCAGATGGAAGAAACCATGAGTGATGCCTGGCTTCTCATGCCATTGTGTCAAGAACAGAAGCTTACATGCTGAGGCATTCCTACCCTTTTCCTCTGTTCCACCCTGTGGTCTCCAAATCTGAAGAGCCTTCCTTCTCTCCTCCTTACCCCACTGCATCTGCACAGCTTGCACAGTCTTCATCCACACTTCAGGGGTAGGACATTGCCTGCGCACCAGCACGCCCTGACTGCTCATGCCAGCTTTCAGAGCTGCCACCACCACCCGCACTCACTTCCCCTGCTCAGAGCAGAACATGCTGTTCTATAAGCTCCCAGAGGTCCTTGATTGCCTGCACATTCCTGGGTGGGATAAACAATACCCTGATGAGCCAGGCCGCCTGGGCCCCGGCTGGAGATATTGCTAATGCATGGACTGCAGCTCTGGCAAACTGCAGAGCTGACCCCATGAATCCTGACAGAACGGACAACGCAGAAAGCAGGGCAAAAACCCCACTAATGGTGTGGAGGAGACGAGCCTTCTCCCACCAAGGAAATGCTGACCACTGCAGCCTCTTGTTAGGACGTGCTGCTTGTCTCAGCAGATCCCAGAGAGCACCCCCACTGAGCTTCACACAGTGGGAAACACAAGGTCTCCTCTTCTGCACTCCACCTCTTAACTCTATATGGCTTCCAGGAGGAAGAAAATTGAAAACTTTGAAAGAAATAGCTTCTTTTGCTTTGTCTGTGACCTAGTAGACCAAAAATCAGCAAAATTAATAAATCTAGATTGGATCATCAAGTCCTCCAGAACCAGGACCACCAAGGACAAGGGCTGCTTAAGCAAGCTCTGGCCTCGCCCCACACGTGACAGTTTGGGGTATTTGCCACAGGAACTTGGCCACATACCACACAAGTCACTCAAACCTCCAATTCTCTCCAGCTGGGCCCTGGCTGTCGCAGTCCCCTCACCTGCTCCGTTGCAGGATGTGGAAGAGGGCAGGCTGGTGGCATCTGCATGGGGTAAGCGTAGCTCAGGGAGGAAGGAAGACAAGCTCGTGCTGGGCCAGATGGCAAGCAAATGAAAGTCATCTGGAAACTAGAGCACAGCATCAATTTTTAATGCAAAGCAGAACACCTTGCCACAACATGTGAGCAAGGAGACTGTGACGGATATTTAATCTCTGGCACTGGGGACCCAAGCAAGCCAGACCCAAGCAAAGGCCAGAGCACCAGCTTAGGAGACAAATTTCCCTAATTCTGTATGGAATGGCTGCACACACCTTACCTACCCTGCTACCGAGTCCTGTCTTCTCCCACCCCAAGGCACGCAGTTGATTCTCTTGTCATTTTTGCAGACAGGCAAAAATAATAAGGCACAGACAAAACCCCAAGAATATAATTGGAAAAACGCTTTTGCTGGAGGTCAAAGGGAAACTATTAATTAAGGTAGTAAAGTGCTAAGGTAAGCACAACTCAGGCTGTCCCACCCAAACTCACATCACCACTGTCACAAAGTCCATCTGAACAGTCACCCATTGTAGGGACACCTCAAATGCAGGCAGAACCCTGAGACATCACACAGCCACGCTTCACATGAAGACTAGCAGAATCGGTGCTCTGCAAGCCTCCGAGTGTCACTCATTTCCTCTCTACTGCTCAGTTCCTCCTGTCCCATTGACAAGTTAACATTTCTCTAAAATCACTGCATGTTCATACTAGTTTTTGATGTCACTGCTAATCGCAAGCGGAGCAGCTGGAGAGAGAACTGAAACCTTTGGCTTTGACAGAGCAAAGGATTTCAAGAATGGAAGAGCAGAAGAAGCCAGCTCAGAGATGAGGGCATTATCGGCACTGTGGAGGGCCTCGCAAACAAGACAGACACATTTAGACACAATGCCCAGCACGACTCGCAGCCAGAGGAGTGAGTCAAGATGAGGGGGATGATGGTGACGTCTTGTAGCACGGTACAGAGGCTGTATTTGGCAAAGCATCTGCAAAACTGCAAATTCTGTATCTATAAACTCTTTCAGGCCTTTTGTGGAGGAAAAGATAGAATCGCAATGAAAGTGAAAGAGAGAATGGCAGTGCAGGGGGAGAGAGCACCCTTTCAGAAGAAACTGAAAGTTATGGAAACATGACAAACCTCAACACAGATGTTAACACTTATGACACATCTACAGGCTTCCTAGGTACTGTGGCAAGGAGAACGAGATGGGAAAGGATGGGGGGTGGGGGGAGGAGGAGGAGTACTTCAAACACCAGGAACGGCAGCAGAGATGTTTGAACTCAGAGGCCGAGTTGTGTCAAGGATGGGATCAGCTGAGGCACTGCTCAGGGTCAGCCAAAGGGTCAGCAGCCACTTCTCAGAAGGTGTTGAGGGTAAGCCAAGCCTCCACACCCTGGCAAGGCCACTGAAGGATGCACCTCCAGTTCATCTCTGTTAAAGTACAAGGGAACAGTGTCAGGCTGGCAGCAATGCAGAGGGATTTGCATTTGCTGGAGTGAGAACAAACGGGGAACTCTCATGAGTTTCTCTTCTCAGGCTGGCGCAAGCAGAGCAGATGCTCTCAGAGCACCCAAGGAAGGCACAGCACAGCAGCCTGCAGCTTCTGCTCTCTGTGTGCAACCACCTGTGCCACCCGTCACCAGTGCCACCGCTCCAGGCTCATGGTGCCAGTCCAGTCCAGGCCCGCATTACTTCTGCGGGGCCAGGGGCTCCCCTGCAACAAGCTGCCCAGGCAATGCCCGCTACCCCCAGCCGCATGCATGACCACCCAGGGTCACCACCGGCTGCACAGACACAGCTTAAGAGACCAAAATCCCAGCGGACGCCATGTGGGGAGTAGACGGGCAGCTCCCGCGGTAACCCCACGCCTGCTCCACGCTGCCGAGGTGCCCGAAATACTCCCAGGACAGCGTAGGCGCCGTGGGACGAAGCCAGCAGGGCACAGCGATCCCCCAGCTGGGCACGCAGGGCCACTCGCTGCCGCAGCCCGGCTGCTGACACGAGAGGAGGGCACTCACCCGAACGAGCAGCACCCCAGCCAGGGGCACCCGCCTTCCCCGGGCCCGCCAGCGCGGCCCAGGGCAGCCCCCCCGGGGCGGGCAGGGCCTCGGCCTCGGCGGGACGGCGCGGGGGGAAAGGGTGGCGGTACGGGCTGCGAGGGCCGGGGGCGCCGGGCGCAGAGGGGGCCGCGGCCGAGGCGGGGGGGCCCGGGCCGCGCCGGGGGCCCGGCGGAGGCGCAGGCCGGGCGGCCGCGGGAGCGCGCAGGGCGGGGGGAGGCGGGCAGGCCGGCGGCGGGGCAGCGGCTAGGCCGGGCGGCGGCAGGCAGGGAGCTGCCGGCTCCCCCCGGCCGCTCCGGCGGATCCCTACCTTCTCCCGGCCCGCTCCGGGCGCCGCGGCCGCTCCGGCCCTGCGTGTCCCGCTCCCGCCTCCGCCCCCGCGGCCGCCCAGCCCCGCCCGGCCCGGCCCCCAGCGCCCGCCCGGCCTCGTAGGGCCCCGCCCGGCCCCGCGGTCGGCCCCGCCGCCCGGTTGCCTCCTCACGTCCCGGCCTGGCTGGCCCGGCGTGCTGCCGCCAGGAGGCCGCGCCCGGGGCTGGGGGGCGGGCTGGAGCTGTTCCGCGGGGACTGGCCCCGCAGCCGGGGGACCCCGGGACCCACGGGTGACATGGAGACATTTTGCAGCACTGCGAGGCCCCCCCCCCGCCTGCGGCCCACGTGGACACCCTCAGGTGGGACAGGCTGTCCCGCGTGGGGTCCAGCCGCTCCCGTAGCCGCCAGGCTGGGCACAGCCCCTGCGCGCCAGGCACCCGTGCTGGGGTGCTGGCAGAGCACCCAGGAGCCTGGCGCAGAGCGAAGTGGGCAGCTGCTTTTGCAAACCCTCTTCGGCTTCTTCCCTACAAAGTGCTGCTGCCTCGAAGACACGAGCAGCGCCGGGGCTCCCCTTCCTGCTGTTTGCCTTCTCCTGGGAGTCTCTCGCTGCTTCGTGGGCTTCAGCTTTGGCAGCAGCTGATGAGTGGGTCTACGCTGTCCATCTGGTGCAGTCTCAGTTTTGCTGCTAGGAGCTGGCTTGGCTGCTTAGATACACTCTGAGATCAAGATGGAGAAAAACAAATAGCCCCCCGGCAGAAAACGGTGACAGGGAGGGCCAATATGTGCATCAGATAGGGGCCAGCCACACCAAGTACAGTAGGTCCCGCGCTGATTTTCCTAGCAGGCCAAAAAAGTCTCTGTGCCCCAAGAGTTACCATCGCTCAGAAACACTCTGTAAAGCCCTGTCTCTCTCAGCCCCCAGAGCAGTTATCACCGTTTCGCACTTGTTTGTGCATTTAGCTATACTTCTCCATAGCAACCACCCAGATCCTGGCATGGCCTGCCACCAGCCAGGAGCGGGGGGTGCAGAGCGCGTCGCACACACCGCTGTCAGAGGCGTGTTAGTAGGTGCACAGGCTGGGCGCCGACTCCCCATCTGCTCTCCCGCAGCAGGGACCCACACTGCTGGCACAGGGCGATGCCTTTGGCAGAGGGCCTGATGCTGCACAGGGAGCTGGGTGCTCTCTTCCCTGCAGGTATGGTTGCTTGTATACGGTTTGGTGGAGCTGAAGAATGGACGCCAGCCCCTGCCACAGGGCTCTAGATGTTGTCCTCTGACACAAAATTTCTGCTGTTCTTGCCTGCCAAGACAAATTTCGAGCTTTTTTTTTTGTCACCCCAATACCACCCGCAGCATTTCAGGTCACTGCCATGACCAGCTCTCCTCTGCTGACATCCCCAGCAAAGCTTCCTCACCCTTCTTTGCGTTCAGTTATTTGCATTTTCCCTTTCTGCCTCCATGCCAGCCATAGAAAGCAGCATGCATCGCATGCACAGAGTCTCATCTGCCCACCCCACTGGGGTTTCTGTTCACCCCAAGATCTTCACAGTTTTGCTTGTAACACTTTTGGTTCATTCTTCTGGGGCTGGCTTCACTTTGTTTACATGTTCCTCCAGTGTCTGCGTACAGTTCTGGTCCCCTCATCTCAGAAAGGGTAAAAGAATGGGAGAAGGTTTGGAGGCAGGCACTAAGGATGCTCAGAGGTATGGGAACAGACTGTATAGTGAACAACCATGTAGACAGGGACTGCTCAGTTTGGAAGAAGGACATAAGGTAAAGGAAGAGGCCTACAAAATCATGAGTGTCCCAGAGAGGACTGGCTGTTCACCATGACTTCTGACACAAACCTGTCAACTGCTTTTGCCTTGACTGCAGCCTCAAAAGAACATGAAATCACTGCACTGCAGATGTTATGTCCAAAGGTTTAGCACCGGTTTTAGCCCACGCTTATTGCAACACTGAGGGCTAAGTTCATGGCAAGCCTGTGAGAGGCCTGTTTAAGAGAGTGCTGCCTCAGAAACATTTTGTAACCATGTTTTCACATGGAGAGTTTGGCCATGGCCAAGTGGAGCTTTACCAAACTGTTCAACACAAAAATATTCAAAGCTGGGAGGAGAGTGAGCTGGACAAATCCCAGCCCAGAGAGTGAGTCCTCCAGAAGGTTGTATCTCATAGGAACCCTCTTGGAGGGGAAAAAGCTTGCAACTGAGACTTTTATTTTGCTGCTGCACTGCTTATCCCACAGCAGCCTGTGAGGGTGAGTGACGTGGCCTCCTGGGCTGGCTGTCTGGTTCTAGAGAAGAAATCCCCCTCCCCTGACTCTGCCTTGGAAAGTAAGGGGAATTAAGATGGTCCTACATTTTCTAGGACCACAAGAGGGCAACATGAGAGCACCCTGCAGCCAACAGGCTCAGCAAGGCAACCTGTGACACTGCTGGGATGCAGGTGGCATGGGCAGCTCTGGACAAGATGAGCATCACCCTGTCCAGGGCCCGCCCAGCTGAATTAGCCAACTGAAGGCTGCTCCCTGGGAGCCCTTTCTTTGCTCTCAGCTTCATACCCATCCTCAGAGGTGAGTGGTTAGCTCAGCCATCTGAGCTAGTGCTGTGTTTGGGGGCAGCAATATCTTCCTGCACATGGTTTGGACACGTGGTGACAGCAGACCACTCTGCAAGCTGCTTGGTGCCAGGCTGTGGGATGCAGAGTGGCCTTCCTCATGCTGCCTGCACGTCCACCAGGAAATCTTTTGGGTGACCGTGCACTGACATGTGGCTTCAAACAGGAGGGTCCAGCATCTGGAGTGATGCTGCTAGGCTTGGCCAGGGGAAGAGGTGTTAAACCACACAGGAGTTTGAACATCTCAGTCTTACCATCCTTTTTCGCTTCCTTCTGCCACCAAAAGATAAAAAATTAGAGAATCTGAATTTGGCTTTAGTTGTGAATGTGGAACTGGCCAGTGTCTTCAGCCCACACCAGCTTCTGCAGACTGAAATAACTCACAGCCATGGTTAAGAGCACTACCATTCCTGTCACTTTTTTGCAATAGCCTGTATATACACCCTGCGAGGGGAAGTTTTCTCTGCCTTTCCAAGAACAGGCATGACAGAGAAACAGATTCTGTCAGCAGGCAGAGCTACAAGAGTTCGTGTGTGCTGCTAGGGCTGAAAATGCCACTAGCATCTTGTAGCAGAGACAGAGGAGGTGGAGATGGTGAGGGATGAATTGCAGAATATTGTCTATGCAGTAGGGTGTTAGAGGTTGCTCACAAGAGATGAAGAGATGTTTGCAAAAGAGGAGGAGCAAGGGGATGTCTGGGGGACACTTTCTGGACAGGCTTGAGACATGGAGAGATCCAGTGCAATGGAGGGCTGTATGGGGGAGACTGGGATAAGCAGCCAAGGAAAAAGAAATCACTGGGGCACATGGGTGGGACTGTTTATCCCTCTGTACTTATTTATTTTCTATGAAGAATGCTAGAAAGGTTTTGCCTGCCTAAGATATTTTTACTATGGAAATAACCAGCTTTGTTTCTACTTTTGCTTCCACTCCAAATCTGCCCACACAGCCTAAGCAGCATTTTAAGGCCCAGCCTGTAGTACCCCACCTCACTGAACTATGGATCATGTCTTCCCTAACCGAATTGCAACCCACATGGCCTGTGCTGTACTTGCACAACACACTGCTGGCATCAAGCAACCCCTTCCTTGTTGCACGTTGACAGGACCAAGGTTCAAGGTATCTCAAGGGAACATCAAATCACCTTGTCTTACACTCCTACTCATCACCAGTTGTCAGATCTCACCTAGTTGCTCCTGTGCTCAATAGTTTGTGTTGGCTAGAGCAGACCTTTCAGTGAGCCATCTGGTTTGGGGCTGAAGACATAAGGAGAAGGGATAATCCTTGGCTTTTGCCAGTGTGTGTCATTTCAGCCTCTCTGACTACAAGTAATCCAAACCAGCTAACAGGAAGTCCCATCTGCAGATCAAGATAAATGTGACGTCAGCCAGGAGATGGGACCACCACCTCCCAGTGCTGCATTCCTACTTGTGGTGTTGCCAACCAGTGATAGCTGTGCTACATATGGAACAAACTGTGTTCAGAGCTGGCACATCACTGGCTGCTTTAAAACTGATCTCCCCCTAACTTCAGGGTCTACAGGGAGCAAGTGTCCTTACCTGAGGGAGAAGCATGGCAATCACACCCGCAGGACTAGTGCCAGGATACACGTGCCCAGCTTGTGAATGCAGCAAAGACCAGGGCCTGGATTAATTCTCCCTGGTATGCACTCATGTCTGGGCATCTCATGTGGGCTGTAGCAACCGAGTCCATGAGTAAAGGGAGCTGAGCTCTCCGAGATGGAGAGAGTGCAGGAGAAGAGCTCAGCAACTACAGACACACTGCCTGGGGAACTGCAGCCCAGGCACATTTTGTTGTGAATGACTTCACAATTTTCTCAGGGATTAAATACTTCCTTGTTTAATAACCTAATAATTTGGGCTGGTTTCATGCTGGACTGTTGGAAAGTTCACTGGCTGGAGTCATCAGC